AAATCGGAGACACCTTACAAGGGGATATCGATATGAACAATTTCAAAATAACTAATTTAAAGTTTCCAGGAAACGATAACGATGCCGTGAACAATAAATATTTACAGGATCAAATAAATGCAATTCAAATAGATAAGGACCATGTTGAAAATAGAATAAATGACGGGAAAAGATACCTCAGACGAAATATTAAAAATCTTGTGGACGAACCCAAACTACAACAAGAGTTGACGAGTTTGAAACGTCTTATTCAAGTGGATAAAACAAGTCAGTTGCAAAATTTAATATCTAAATTAGACGATAAGATTACGAAGGTAAAAATAGACGTCCAACGTTTAATAGACAACCCAAATGTAAACGAGGATAGATTGAAACGAAAACTAACCGCTTTGGAAAGAAAACTTGGCGAATTGCTAGCAGCAAGCTAGACAAGACCGCGGACAAAACCGAGTTACAAAATTCGATATCCAACGTGAACGAAAAGATCGCGAAGCAAAAATCAGATGTTCAAGATATAATTAACACACTTCCCATTGACAAAGATACGTTGAAACGACAATTGACTGCTTTGGATACTAAAATCACGGACGAATTAGAAAAAGAAGTGGGTGTGATTAAAAACTTTCTTCAAAATAAATTTCGAGATGATATGAAAAATTATATTAAAGAACAGGTCAATCTTTTAGTATCTAGAATTCATGACGATTTTTTGAGACAAGAGAGAAAGTTGACCAAATTAGAAGCTACAAGTCGTATTATTTCAATCTTCCATTCGAAAGTGACACTGTCTTCGATGAAAAAGACCAAATTTATAAATCAAACAAATACGGATTCAAAGCAGAAATAAAAGTGGGTTCCCTCGCATACGGAGAATCTAAAAACGTATTCGATATCGGCGAAACGCAAGGGTTTACTTTTCGAGGTAATTGTCTGATTCAAATAGAGTTTCCCATGAAGGTTAAAGTCAATAAAGTAGTCTTCAAACAAACCGGTAATGCCGTCAAACATATTTCATTATTCAATGATGGTAATTTGGAAGAGAATATACGTTTGATTGATAAAAGGGATCAGGAAATTGAAACGAAAAATGGTAAATATGTAGACACCTTTAAAATGGAAGTAGAAAATGATAAGGATAACATTGGAATCAAAGATTTAGATATGATATTGGAGACGGAAAATCCACCATCAAGCAACATTGTCAAAGTTCCACGACGCTTACACGTACACGGATCAATAGAATCGAGCAGTCACGAGTTTTTACGAACAACAGACTTTGAATACGTAAAACTTCGCTTTAGGTGGAAAATACACCTCGATCGATGTTCATAAAAGTCAACAAGAAAGAGAGTTTATAGTACATTTATCGTTTGCCGAAGACTCCATCCTTGAAGGTGGTGGTTTTATTTTTAGAGCCAAGATAAACATCGAAAAAGAAAAAAGAAAATATTCCTATCATCTTAAAGAGGACCATACGAAAAAAGAAATGTCGTTAGTACGCGTAAATGTTGTTACTTTTAATAGCCGCGAATATAATAATGCTAGGCCAAACAACAACGTTCTATACGATATTCCGTGGTTCCATTTATCGGAAATTCACTTAATTTAACGACTCAAAAAATGGAACTCGAAAGCAGACAACAATACATGATAGACAAACAAGAAGGGTTGAAAATAAAGTTAAGACAGTGCAATACATGCAGGAAAACATGAAGTAGAATCGATTCTTTTTTCAAAACAGCGAACACAGTTCTAACGGTAGGAGTAACGGTGGCAACGGCCGTGACTGGTGGATTAATGCTTCCGGTCATCGTCCCAACCGTATTGGCTGCATTAACAGCCGTTCAAACGACCTCTTGCGGTCTCATCACTTTAGGTTTCACGAGCAAAAAGAAAGCTCATTATAAAAAGAAAACGGATATCTTGAATATGTATCTTAATCAATTGTACATCTTTTTCGAAAGATCGAGAGAAGACAAGAACATAACAGTTGAAGAATTACAAGAATTCAATGGACAAATTCCATACAGAAATATCAGCGGTCAAAATAAAGAAATAATCAAAAATATATACTTAAAAAAATATGAATGAAATCGAACTTGCAGACGATGAAACATTGATAGAAAACGACCTATTTTCCGATGTTATCAAGGCTATCTCTGATAAATTTAAAACATTTAAAGAACAAATTAAAATAGATGGAGAGATAGTCGAGGAAGGGAATCACAGACAATACATGTCACTCCTCGGTTTCAATGCCAAAACTTTTCACAATATCTTTTCAAATATGGACAAAAAAATCCGATGCTTCCGATTGGTATTTTACAGGAAAAATAATTTTAATGGAAGACAATTTCCAAGAAATAAAAAGATCGAGAGTTTGTAGAGGAGGAACTGATCTACTAAAAAAGATCAATGAATTCGTCGGCGAAAATTGTTACATACCTACAGATGATCACTGTTTTATAAAATGCGTCAATCGTGTTTTAAACGAAGACTACACGAGAGAATTTCAAGAATACATCAACGGGTTTTCAAAAGCAAATAGAAAATGAGTGATGACTTGTGCTAGAATGAAGGAATTCAACAAGAAATTCAACACTTCGTTTCAAATTTATAATCCCAAAAATAGACATTTTCATCCCAGAGACGTTCAGGATGAATTAGATTGGGTTTTTTTACTTACACAACTCACATTTCTGTTTGATAAGAAGGAGCCAAAAAAGTTTGGGAATTCAAGAAATAGAAGACAATTACGAACAGGTGTGGAAAACGTGTAAAAGACGATAACGCAGTAACACAGGTTTCACCCCTCAAACTAAACGTGCTTTCGAGTATGAGTGATGATGCGTTATTCGCTTGGGATTGCGAAACGTATTCAGAAAAAGACACGCGAAGAGCAATTCCTTATGCCTGCACTTTAATTAATTTAGAAAAACTAAGAAAAAAGTTAGAAACGATAAAAAATATCTTTCCAAATATAAATCCTACTGATAATGTTCCAGAAGAATTTTATGATAAACTAATGAATTTAGTAGAACTATTTGTAGGTACAGATTGTATAGATCAAATGTTGAAATATTTAGGTCAATATGATAGAAAGAGATTAATATTAATTTCTCATAACGGTAGTGGATTCGACAACTGGATCGTGCTTTAAAATGCAAAAAAACTAACGCATTGCCCTTTAAAAACACCCAGCGGAATTCTATCTTTTCCTTTATCTAATCCATACACGGATGAAGATTTACAGAAAAAATGGAAAAGACAGAAAGATATAAAGGGTCATTATTTACAACATATTAAATTCACGTGTTCCTATCAACACGAATCCTCTAGTTTGGCTGCATGGGGAAATTCTTCCAATCTCCCAGCGAATTTGAGAAAGATTGCCGACGTAGATATCGCTAAATACACGCAAGACAACTGGGAGGAATTGAGACACGAATGGGAACCTTACGCCAAGAGAGACACTCTCTGTTTGGGAGCTTGTTTGATAAAATACAACCAAGTGACGAAAGAAGTTGTAAACCAGAATATGTCCAATAATCTAACGGCTCCATCTTTATCTTTAAAGGGTTGGTATTATTTATATCATTACGATAAAGAAATGGTGGAAGAAGAATGGTATGAAAACTACTAGATTGGTTGCGAATCATACTGAAAAAGAAAACGTAGAAAAAGTTTATTCGCACACTAATCCTTTTATAAGAAATTTTATCAGACGATCTATTAAAGGAGGAAGAGTTTCGGCAAATAGAAAATCATTTGAAACGAAGAAAATGGATGAAATTTGTAACGTATTAAAGGAATATATTTCACAAAGTGACACAGAAAGTAATAACATAATTGATTTATTCAAAGAATACAGTGCAAGCACAAAAGACAAAACGGAGGTTCATTCGAGACTTAAAAAAATAGAATGTACTAAACTAATGGCATTTGATGCTAACGGTTTATACGCTTCCGCCATGTCGGATTTAGACAGTGAATATCCGAGAGTGGAAAGTGGAAGACCGTTTCTACCAGAAGAAGAAAAAGAATTTGTAAAACTCTTCAATAAACAAAAATTCAGACCTAGAACAGCTATTTTAACAGTGTGGTTTGACTATCCCAAAAACATGTTCTTCCAGCCGATACCAGCTAAAGATAAAATCACTTTCACGAATAAAGAAGGTAAAAAGGAAACTGGTAACAAAATCAGGTTCAGAAATGGTTTCTGTCACGACGTTTTAACATCGGTCGATATTCAAGAAATAGTGAAAGCCGGTGGACGAATTATTAGAATATTAGATGGTATAGTTTACGAAGAAAATCTTAAAACTCCACCCTATAGAGATTATATCTTAATTTTGATAGATCTAAGAAATAAATATAAACGAGAAGGTAATATCGTGGGTAGTAATTGCATGAAATTATTAGGTAATTCCTTGTATGGTAAATCAATTCAGAAAGATATATTCACAACTAGACATTTATGGAATGAAGCAACTTTACAGGCCAACTTTGATTCACCTGTTAAAACCTATGAGAAAAATTAATGATACTCAATATATTGTTGAAACAGAAATTGAAGAAAAAGAGATTACTACGGAAGATAGTAAATCTACACGACTAACACCTAGTCATTTGGGATCATTCGTTTTATCTCACAGTAAAAAAATAATGAACAATTTCATTCACGTCATAAATGGATTTTATAAACCCGAAATATACTATACCGACACCGATAGTTTGTACATTTCATCCAAAAATTGGAAAAAACTAAACAGAGCTGGTTTGGTCTCCGAAAAAGACTATTGCAAAGGTAAAAACGATTACGGTGACGGTGGAATTATATTTGGTTTATATTTAGCACCAAAAGTCAAATACAACATCGTTTTGACTTCTGATGGTGTCTTAAAAGAAAAGAAAACGTTTAAAGGTTATTCTAATGATAAGATAAGTGTAGAAGATTACGTTCAGTTAGCAAGCGGACAAGATGTGTCGAACGAATTTAATAAACCACGGGAAAAAAGTTTCACCAATGGAGTAGTTATTCCAAATGATAAACAAACTAAAGTTTTTAGAAGTTATTTGAATAATGTTAAAAGAAAACCACCAAACAGTGAAGGAATTATGTATCCTTACAACGACAAAGATGAGTATAGTTTTGACGAAAACTATGAATTTGATGATTTCGATTATCTTACTATTCAAGAAGAGAATGAAGATTGTTTTAAATGAAGTTGAATGACAATTTCTTCGTTGCCAAAGTCTATGAACCTGTTTTTACCGTCTTTGATTTCCAGATTTATATCTTTGATCATGAAAGAATTGACTGGTAAATAGGTTGTTTGAAACGGTTTCTCTATAATTCTGTATCCGATCGGCACCGTAAAAGTCGGTATGCTGTATATGATTTGGCGTTTGTGCTTGTTGAAAAATCCACCGTTGAAATTACAGTGAATGTTGATCTCGTCGATGTCGTTCTCGATGTTGGCCTTGTGCGGCGCCAATGTTGATTGCGCGTATATTCGTTTATCGAACCCTAGTAACGCATTCAACGAATTTTCTACGTTGAAATCGACTTGACTGTTATTTCTCAAGATCAGTTTTATTTTGTTCAGATTCAAATTACCTTCGAATTCGATATTGTTTTTGCCGTTCACGCTTCCTGCGTATTCGGATAGGTAATCGATGATGGCCACGTATTCGTAGCTTCCCGCTAGTAAGCTTATGGTTTTGAACGTAACTCCGAGAAATACTTTAATCCCAGTTTGTACTGTTTATTGCGATCGAGTTCATACTCGTAGTCCAGAGACAATTTGATGTCTGATTTATTCGAGGTGATAACGAACAATTGTTCTTTATTGGACATTTTTAATAACGTTTATATAGTCTTTTTTAGTGATGATTTTTTTTCCAAAAGCCGTTTTAATATGCCATTGACTTCGTTGTATTGTCTGCCCGATCGATGACCTTCCTTCATGGCCGCTAATATTATTTCTAATCTATTAAGCAATTCTTTATTGTCGTCGGATAAAAACGTTATACCTTGCCCAGATGCCACCATATCACCGAATTCGTCTATTTCTTGTATTATTGGTGGATACTCTTCTGCATAATCATCTACCTCCTCTAGCTCAATAACTTTTGTTATATATAAATCAACTTCTTTCAATCTTCTTGTTTCGGGTCCTGTCTTTCTGATCGCATGTAGAAATTTTGAGTATGCAACTAAATCCTTGTAATCGGCAATTTCAACATCCTCGCCATTCATTAAATCTATTAATCCTCTCGTTAATGTGTATATGTAATCTTTTGTGTCGATTTTGAATTGTGGTGAATTTCCACTAAATCTTATTCTAAAACCATTGAACAACAAACCCTCATCATCAACGATTGGTGAAATACTCTTTGGTAAATCTGGGTCAGGGTTTGAAAAAAGACGTTTTATATCATCTAATGTCCTAATTATAATACCATTATATTCAATCGGTTTGGGTTCTATATGAGGGGTGGGTTCTATAACGAGTCTCTTTTTAACATCTTCTTGACTTTTTAATATGGGTTGAAATAGAGTCTGTAGATTTTCCGTTAATCCGAGTTGTTGTAATTTGTATTTTTCAACTTGGGTCTTTATTTTATTCTTAGCTTTGATATATATTCTCTATTTCTTTTTAAAAAAATTATTCCAATCCGTCATTTTTAAAAAAATAAAATTAACATGTATCGATCATAACTCTTTCTCCCGCAGGTTTTCTAGTATTTACAAATACATATCCATGATCATCTGGGTTTCTCCATTGAGCTTTACAAACCTTTTTAAATGTATCTCTATCCATTCCGTGATTTATAGACTGAATGATTTGAGATAAATCTTTATCATTTAATTCAAATAATAAAAAACAATTTGCATTTTTTCTAATGAACATAGAATCCATCCCGTAAAAAGATTGGGATTGGTATATGCAATGACAGTTGTGATGTCTTCCTTTGGTGAAATTCTTGTTGAACAGTTTGATTTCTTTGCGCTACGCAGTCGCCAAACAATATTAAGTTCTTTCGATTGCTATCAATATTAGACAAGTCTAGATCATTAACATTTTTCGTAAGAAAAACTTTTATATCCGTTGGATTGAAAGATGGATTCTTTGATTTAATGAAGTTTTCTATGATATCTTTTATTTCCACTTCTTCTTCTTCGTTTTCTTCGTAATATTGAAATATGTCTTGAACGTCTTTCTTTGGTAAATATTCTAAAGCTTTGAGGAATTGATAATACGATTGCTCTGGTGTTGTTGTGTAGATATACAGAGAATCGAAATCTAAAAGGTTTGGTGTTGTCAACATGTTAAAAGTGACATGAGTTTTCCCAGAACCTGAACTACCGCAAATACACATGAGCATTGGGTTACTAGGAAATATGTCCAAATGTTTGAATTTCTTGCCCATTTTTATTTATTACATTTTCGTACCAAAAATCACTCCGTTGCCTTTATACTTTGAAAGGAAGATTCCCTCGCCCGAACGTATGTTTTTAAAAAATATGGCGTTGCCCTTGTGTTTGACCTTCATTTCTCCAGTGTCGATTTTATCTATCAATTTGCTTAATCCCTCTTTAACGGTTTTCTTGGTTTCTTCGCCAAATCTTTGTCCGAATTGTCCCTAATATATCTCCTACTCCCGAACCTCCTCGTGCTTCTCTTTCCATTGCCAAATTGTGTCTACGTGCTTCGGCGTTTGCAGCGGCTTCAGCTTTCTTATCGTTGACAGCTTTGGCTATCCCAGCAGCTCCACCAGCAGTTGCACCAGCTGCAGCTAAACCAGCAAAGATTAAAGGTAAGAAAGGTAAAAATCCACCTATTTTAGTTAAATTCTCATCAATTCTTTCCAAGTCTATATCGTCTCTGACTTTGCAATATTTGTATTTATCAATAAGTTTTTTAGTTATGCTGATTTTTTTACCATTATAAGTTATTGTAGTTGGTGAAGCTGTTTCTATAGCTTCTATTATTTTCTTGACTAAAGTTTCTGGTTTCATTTTTAAAGGGTGTTTTTTTATTCAATTCTTATCATTCTTCTATCTGATATTTTAATCAAATGTTTTGCTTCTTCCAGCAATAAACAGTAGCCGGTCACATCTCCTTGTGTTTTATCGATGTGAATATTTATGTTCACTCCTGTTTTGAAAAGATCTTCTTGATGAGCTGACAGATCGAAACAAAAGATTGGATGATTGAGTGAAAAATCTGTGTATTCAAACTGAGGCGTATTTCCAAACAATTCGCACATGTTTTTATAGTTTCTGTACAATTCGTTGTAATCTTTTTTGGAAGGATCAATTGTCAAAGGTTGATTGGGATAATTATCGTTGAACAATCTGACTTGAACTTTGCGAATGATGGGATCTTGAGTATGGTTCAATGCCACTCTGAAAATGTTGTTGTTGTTTGTCTGAGAGTCTGGCAAGTTTTTGAAACCGACCATTAGATATCTCGCTGGTTTGACGGTGTTGGTGATTGGCCACGTGGTGGATTCTCCCGTTAAAGTCATGCTACCTATCGTGTTACGACGAAGAAAAGCAATTTCGATGTCTTTGGTTAAAGAGTTGAATATTCTCGTTTCCACTTCTACGGAAGGAGTGATTACCGGTATGTAAAGTTGGATATTCGTTATTTCCAATTTTGCGTCAGAGTTGTTTTCACCAAAGAATATCTTGTTGTCGTTGATTTCTCTTTACAAATGAATTTTATACGGTAAACCTATGGAAACCTTTCTGTGTTCCAAGAGACCAAATAAAGGATACAACTTCCAATTAACGTAATTACCCCATCTGTTGTTCTCGACAACATTGTTGTATTGAAGCGCTCTTTTTTCAAATCCGTGATTTACTCCGCGAGTCACTCTTTCCAGTGTGTTTCTAGCAACTACCCTTATCCTAGCAAGATCTGCGTCATTTGCTACAGTTCTGATCGGTTCTTTTAAAACTTCTCCGTCACCGACATCGGGAATTCATCCCGAAACTGAATCGTAGTTGTTGGGATACAGAACCGTTTTCAACATTGTGTCAAACTCGCCGGGGTGTTTTATGGTCTTTATTGGATTTGAACCAGCTTCCAAAACCATTTCGCTGAATAAAGACGGAAAGAAGTTGTTTTCTAAAGTCGTGTTGGTTTGTGGAATTCGATTCTGAGCGGCGTCTTTGATTTTGAAATCGCATCGGAAATGGGCATCGGAAAGCAGCAACCAATTGCACAACGAATTAATTTCAAAGGTAACTCTTCCTCCATCGTTTATTTGGGTCTGTGTCCCTACCGATGGTGGGATGATTACGTAATCCTCTTTCTTCTTGTTGAACGAATATTGAATCGGATTATACAATTGAAAGATTGGATCCCATCTGTAATTTTTGCTTGCCATTTCTATCCAATGATTTTAAACCCTTTTCCTTGTTTTTCTAGGGCTTGTCGTTCTAGTCTCTTGTTTCTTAGTTCTCTTATTAACTGCAGTTCTTTAAGTTCGTCAGATTTTTTCACTGCATCGCTAATATTTACTCCTGCTTTTGCCACAGATCCAAGAGCTTGCGCTTCTGAGGAAATGAGGGATTTGTTGTTTGAGACAAAATTGGCCACTTTGGGGATGAGAGATGTTAGCGCAGAGAAGAAACCGTCTCCTTCGAATTTTGTTTGTTCTGGTTTTAAAATTAAAGACATTTTTAATGCGGTTATTTTATACTGTATTATTATTAGTGATTCTTGTCTGTGGTTTGGGTAACTTATATGGATTCTGTTATAATACAGTTTGGGGAGTCTGTTATAATACATTTTTAACAGTTTTGGGAGTCTGTTATAATACATTTTAACAGTTGTGTCTTTTCGGATATGACGCATTGAAAAAGCTGCGCATGCGCAGAAGTGAAATGCGTCATATCCGAAAAGACATATACTACTCACATTTTCCGTCTATATGGCCTATAAGAGCCGAATATCGGCAACTTTTCCGGGGCTAAATTTTTCCCCATGGCAGATTTCTCTGTTCTGTTTTTTTTTTCACATGTTTAGAGGGCCCAGGTGCATATGTGTGCAAAATTTCAGCTTTGTAGCTTGGTAAGTTTTCAAAATGAAAATTTATTTGTGTATAAGCACATTTCGTGCAGTAGTCCCTTGTAACTAAAAAAATTCTATTTTTTTTCTCTAATTGTTTTTAATTCGGTTTTAAGTGTTTTTCCGACTCCCTTGGGT